AGTCTACTGGGTTTCTCTCGGAATTAACAAGGCTAATTGTAATGAATCTTGTTTTCTTAAACTATTTTCATTACAGAAGTTCCTAAGGTGCCAAGCATGATACAGTGACAGATAACCTTGTTCCACATGAACTTTAGCTACAAGACAAATATAGCAAAATAGAAAACAATGCAAAACAGTTGGCAGGATTTGGAACACTGAAATTGAGACCATGTGCAGGGGGATCATCAATGTCTATTCCCCATAAGCTCAGATTCTTACCATAATTTTAACATTAGCATCGAAAATCAAACAAGTAATTAAGATTAATTTACACAAAAACAGACATCGTTAGCAAACAAAATACATTCCAATTTGACCATTTGTGCGGACGTAGGAACAGAAATCTATGCGCAGATCGTAGTTTCCCATAAGTTTGCAAACACCGATGATTTGAAGTTATCATGGGACTCTTCACATGAATGAATGCGTAAAACCATAAAATGTTCTGCTTTGTCAGATTTTTGTCCCTAAATTCACCAACACAGCAGATTTCATCAGCAACCCACATGAATAAACAAACTTAAAAAATCGAAAATTATTCAAACAAACCCATCATCGGAGCAAACCGCACAACTCACAAATGCAATCAATTTTACAAACAGACCAAAATTCCCAGAAAAATATGTTCATGGGAAAGAATCGAAATCGAAAAATCGAAACACAAACCTACAAAAAAATAAACAGAGAGATTATGAAACGGATCGAAAATTGAAAAATTACCTTCCCAGAAAAGGGGTTTCTGTAATAACCTAACAACAGAAGTGAGGGAATCGCAAGGTATAAGCATCAATACCTGCAAATTTTCCGGCGAGGTCGCGAGATTTTGCCCTGAAATTTTGCTAAAACATTGTGATGTACTGTGTATTATCGCTATCGGAAAATTGGGGGAAAAAGAGAAAAAAAAAAAAGCGATTAAAATAGAAAAAGGGGGAAAAAAAAAAAAAAGTGGAGGAAGTTTTCAAATTCAGTTTCAGTTTAAAGCGACTTTGAGGAACGGAGACGAGGGCAAGAGATCCGGCGGCGGTTGTTTTCGCGCCACCTAATTGTTTAATACAATTTATTATTCCTTTTATTATTACCATACTTTTTTTTTGGTAGCCACGGTTTCGGAGCTATGCTCCGACTAATCAGTTGATCGAACCAAGTCGCACACCTGGCAGAGGTGGACGAGTCTCCCAACAAGAGTTTTCTGCATCCACAATGTCTTTTATTATTACCATACTTTATTTATACTTTTTGCCTTTTTTTTAAAACAAAAAAAAAACAAGAAAAGAAAAAAAGAAAAAGAAACATAAACAATTAATAAAATGAAAAAGACCTTTTCCTTATTTTTTTCTCATTATTTTTGTTTTTTTTTTCTTGTATTTGTTTTTTTATTAATGTTATTTATTTGATTATGTTTTAACAATTTTAGGCTCGTATTTAAAAATATTATATTATATTTTGATTTATGTTTTATTTTTTGGATAACTGATATATATCTATATATATATATATAATTGTGATTTCATCACCGACTTCGTTCATCCGATGAAACGAAACATGAATAAAAATAATATCGGAATACAGATTTTCGTTCTAATATTAGGCAAGACTTTATTGTTCAGTAGTAATTGTTTGGTAATTATAATTTTTTTAACAAATATATGCATGTTGTTGTAGGTAAAGTTATTTGTACAATTATTTTTTGATAAGTATATTATTATTTTTTTAACAAATATATGGATGTTATAAAGTAGACCTATTTATTCAATTATATTTTAGGTAGTTGCAGGCTAGCCTAATATTAGACAAACCTATCTACCCAATGAATATTTTTAATTAACCTATGTTGGTATAATAGTTTAGATAACTTATGTTGGTGTTACTTTTATCCGATAGTTATTATATAATTTTTTTTAAATATATATTTTGTGTCAGACAAATTTATTTATTTAATCATATTTAAAATAGCCTTATGCTAATATTAAACACCTATTTCATCATATGTTAAATGAAAATTTTGATAAATTTTCCTTATTTACTTATTATTATTATTATTATTATTATTATTATTATTATTATTATTATTATTATTAATATTATTATTAGTTTGCATGCTTATTTTACTTTCTTCTTTTGTTATCTTGATTTAGGTGGGCCAACATCTTTTATTATGTTTATATTTATTTTCTAAGCAAGGTGTAGAAGAAATTACGTTGGATTTTTTTTTTTCAAAAGGCTGTTATTATAACACGACATGATTAAAAAATTTAAATATTATAGAGAATTATTGCAGGCCTGAAATTTTAATTAGACTATGATAGAATTGCACTTGTTCACTTGTTATTATATTATTGTATCGGTAAAATAAAATTGAGTGGAATGATTTTTTTTTTTTTTAAATAAAACTAATTTTTATTTATGTATTTTTTTTTTATTAACTTCTTATTAACAAGATTTACTACTATTTTGGGTGTTGTGGGTTTCTGAATGTTAGGTGAGAATTATTAGATTGGGAGGTTTTTTTTTCAAAGATTTGAATATATTTATGTTGTGTTCCTTTCGGATTTGTTTTGAGAAAAAAGCAAAGTATGAAATTATGTTTGATAGGTCCAACAAATAATAATAAAACTAAAAACAACGTACTTTGATAAAATT